ATTTTGTGGGTTTTTGGGGGGGGGGGGTTGTAAATGTGTGTGTGTGTTTTGCTTTTTATTTCGTTTTGCAACTGTGTGTTAAGGAATGCAAATCCAATCCTTGGCTCCAGTCACCCAGCGGGTTCTTAAAATGACGATCAGCACAAAGTAGCCGTTACGTTATGCAAAAAAGTTGTATCAAGGCCTCTGACAATGTTTAAATGTCAAAGCAAAAATTTGAAACGGAAACGGAAGTCACGTGACCTCACGCACTACAATTAACCCAAATTATTCCCTCCCTTTTTTTCCTTTAAAAAACATGCAAATCTGTATATTTCCTGAGTGGCGTAGCTAGGGAGTGTTGGGACGGGCGGGGGGGGAAAGGGGGGGGGTGGGTGTTGCGAACAGCACCGGGTGACACCAAGTCGTCGGCTGATTCTCAGTACAGGGATCGGATCGGTAAAATTTAAAACTTAAAACGTGCATTTGTTACCATTTATCGGGGTAACAAAATAATATCGTTTTTTTTTTTGCAATTCGTATATATTTTAATAACTAATTAAAATTTATTTATTATTATTTTTTTTTTTAAACAGGTTTTTGCAACCCAATATTTGGAAACCCAGAACCGTGACCAGCACCGCTCTTCAACATTGGAGCACAAGAGCACACATTGGAGCACAACAGCCAACATTGGAGCACAACAGCATACAGCCCAAAGCTTTTTTGACGGGCCGTCTGTGATCTCACGCTCATCTGCTACCTGCGCTTTGGGCTGATCTACTCGAGGATGTTCATGTCTTGCACAGCAGTGACTGCAGACTGAAGGGTTTACTCTTGACGAAGTTGTGACCAGTCTAGAGGCCTTAAGATTGTTTCTGCACGAGAGGCGCCGTCACCTGGTGAAATATGCTATTGGAAAGGTACTTTTAAAATCAGACCAATGTAGAGAGAAGGGTAAGGTTTGAGGTGATAATGGCCGGAGAACTATTTACGATCCACCATGGGTCAATCAAGATATCCTGGTGTGGCTCTACTATCAATGGCACGTGATACGGTGAAGGGTATTGATTTTTGTCGATTAATTGACAGGTTTGCAGCTTTGAAGACATGGGAAGGAAATTTTAAACAAATGAAATTCAATGTAAAAATAACTATAATTTAGCTTTGTTACAGTTCTTAAATACAATGACATCCTGGCCTTTGATTAATATTTGTTTTGTTCTTGTCATTGTTAGATTGCGTTCTTAATCTAATAAGAAGAAATCCATCGTGGTCGTCGGGAGGAGAGGGGCTTCTCGAGTCAATGAAACATGAGTTATCCGCACCGTGTGACACCATGAGTTCACCAAAACCGGGTGACACTATGAATTTACCACACTGGGTGACACCGTGAGTTTACCACACCGAATGACACCATTAGTTTATCGCACGGGGTGAGATCATGAGTTTACCACAATGGTGACTTCATGGGTTTACCGCACCGGGTGACACCATGAGATTACCGCACCGGGTGACACCATGAGATTACCGCACCGGGTGACACCATGAAACTAACGCATTAGGTGATACCATAAGATTACCGCACCGGGTCACACCATGAGTTTACCGCACCGGGTGACACCATGAGATTACCGCACAGGGTGAGATCATGAGCTTACCACACCGAGTGACACCATGAGTTTACTGCACCGGGTGACACCATTAGTTTACCGCACCGGGTGACACAATGAGTTTACCCCACCGGGTGACACCATGAGTTTACCGCACCGGGTGACACCATTAGTTTACCGCACCGGGTGACACCATGAGTTTACCCCACCGGGTGACACCATGAGTTTACCGCTCCGGATGACACCAAAAGTTTACCGCACAAGGTGAGATCATGAGTTTACCGCAAGTTTACCCCACCGGGTGACACCATGAGTTTACCGCTCCGGATGACACCAAAAGTTTACCGCACAAGGTGAGATCATGAGTTTACCGCACCGGGTGACACCATGAGTTTACCCCACCGGGTGACACCATGAGTTTACCGCACCGGATGACACCATGAGTTTACTGCACCGGGTGACACCATGAGTTTACCGCACCGGGGGACACAATTAGTTTACCGCACCGGGTGACACCATGAGTTTACCCCACCGGGTGACACCATGAGTTTACCGCTCCGGATGACACCATCAGTTTACCGCACAAGGTGAGATCATGAGTTTACCGCACCGGGTGACACCATCCCTAGCTACGCCACTGACTTTAGTTAAATATAGTGTTGAGCAGGACAGCATGTTACAGACGTAAAGAATCTTAATGAGCCCATGAATTGTTTCTAAATACAAGCTTCATTTCCTGCGGACAAAACAATTACAAGTCATGTGATCACAGCATGGAGTTATTCTGATCTTGTTTTTGTAATATTTAAATTAATGCAAATCGCGTGTGGCCATGAAACAAATCCCATCGTTGGAGACAAAAATAGTGATACTTTAAACTAATGGTTCTTAACCTTGTTGGAGGTACTGAACCCCACCACTTTCATTTGCGCATTCACCGAACCATCTTTGTAGGTAAAAATAAAATATGATTTTTAATTTTTTCTTTGGACCTCCGCCGAGCCCCTGAGGCTGACTCACCGAACCCTTAGGGTTCGATCGAACCCAGGTTAAGAACCACTGCTTTAAATGGAAATAAAAAGATTTTCTGACGAGAGTAGACGTAATAAAAAATCATCTGGTCCAGTGACGTTTACAAGGGCTGTGGGCATTTGACTCAAGAAACCAATGAATGAAAGTAGATGATGAGGTAAATGAAGATATTTAAAAAAATTGTGTTGATTAAAACAAAAAATTAAAAAAAAAGAGATTGGTAAGTATCCTTTCATCAGTACATGTAAGCAATGCAATATCAAAGTGATGAAGTGGGCATCATGAAATAGAATGAACATGTGAAACAGCATGAACTTTTCAAATAGCATGGACATGTGAAATAGTGTGAACAGGTGAAATAGAATGAACATGTGAAACAGCATGAACTTTTCAAATAGCATGGCCATGTGAAATAGCATGAACATGTGAAATCGAAGGTGAAACAAAAATACGATAGCTACAAAGATAAAATTATTTGATCTTTGTGAGGTAAGAAATATATCAAAACTGTAGGTTGGGAAAAACACCATTGTGTGTGAAATGGAAAAACCTAACCTCCCCACTCACACTTACGCCAGCGACGGGGGACACTGACCTTGACATTTGGCTATGACCGGTGGTATCGTGGCCAACAGCGGAGGCAGGATCTCACTCCCGGCAAAGGCGGATATGAAGGAGACGATGGTGTAGGGCATCCAGCACACCCAAAAGCTAACTGAAACAGAAAGCCAGATCGAGGCTCTTACACATGATGGTGATGTGTATCGACATTGATTTTATTATGTACTCTCCTGGGGCTGAGATGTTTTATTTACAATCTATATTTTAGCTCAAGGGTTCTCAACCAGTGTCATCGGGGTGAAGAAAGACCCAGATATTCAGTTTATTAGATAAAATTTGTTATCTTTTTTTTCCCGTTTTTTTTAAATATTTTTTTTGGGGGGGTTGGGGGGAGCAATATAATCGAGAGGGGGTGCGACACAGTAAAAAGGTTAAGAACCCCTGTTTTAGTAACATTCTTATTCTACAAAGTGTATACACATTTTATTTCTAATGCTCTTGTGGGATGTTTTTTTTTGTTGTTTTTTAAAAAATTAAATCATAACAAATTTTTTCCATTAAGATTGAAGACTTGACCGTTCTATGGCCGCCCTCATTTTGTAGCTGCGTCAATTTGATTAAAATGATGAAAACCTAACTGCTGACTTAAGGGTGTGGTCACGTGATGTTGTGTATATAGAAAAAAAAATGTTTTCTTCTGTGACGTAAGCGAACGAATTTTCTGAGGTCCAGAAATTTTCTGATTGGATTATTTTAAAGTTGAGGGCAATGCATTGGCCAGCGTTGCCTTCGTGATATGACAGTTATCAGAATTGCAGAGGTAGTGAAAGAGAGAGAGAGAGAGTAAGAGAGAGAGTAAGGGAGAAACAGTGAGTTAAAGAGAAAGAGATGGAGAGTAAGAGAGAGAGCGAGAGAGTAAGAGAGAGAGAGCGAGATAGAATAAGAGGGTGAGACAGAGGGAGAGTAAGTGAGAGAGAAAGAGAATGAGAGAGGGAGAGAAATAGCGTGAGAGAGAGAGAAGTGAGAGAGAGGGTGAGAGAGAGGGGGAGTGAGAGAGAGAAAGATAGCGTTAGAAAGAGGTAGAGAGAGTGAGAGAGAGAGAGTAAGAGAAAGCGAGAGAGTAAGAGAGAGAAAGACAGAGAGTTTGAGGGCAGTATTTGAACAAAACACACATACCCACAATAAGTACAGCAGTTTTGAACATTTTCCTCTCGATGGCCAGATTTTTCTTGGCCACGCGACTGTTCATGTCCCACACTGAATTTTTATTCAGGTTCCTCAGCTGTGAAAGAAACAGTTCGAATCCTGTTAAAACTCTCGAAGAGAATTGTTCTGTTGTAACCCTTTTAAGTTGATTTTTTTCAATATGGCGAACGTAAAGGTGAGAACAAATATATTAATTGCTTTCAATAATTTACACAAATACTAAGTGATCTTGATGATGTCATACTTGATATTTGAGAAAATCTTAAAGAGTTCTAAACAAAAATATTCTGATAAAACTTTAGGAAAAAATCATGATAAAATCTGAGATTAATTTTCTAGACATTTACCATTAAAACGTGAGCTAACGTATCAGAGAATCACGTTTCTTAAATTAACTTTTTTTTTTCGGTCGTCTGCATCAGAATTCAAGGAGGCATAACTTTAGTATAAAAGACAAAACTGCTTCTAAATTATTTTAATAATAAAAAGGTTTCTCTGTCCTATAAATATTTCAAGAACGTACACACACATTTAATGGCTACAAAAAAAAAACCCCAAAAAATGTTTTTTTTAAAAATAAAGCACTTGAGAGGAGACATGGAAGCGCTTGAAATAGAAAAGAGCTTTCGTATTTAAATGATGTGACCAGTGCCGGATTATCCTAAAGCCCGAGGAGGCCCTCACACAACCAGGGGGCCTTGAGCCTTTGTCTCCTAAGGGCCCCGCGAAAAAAGAATTTTTTTTTTTTTTTTTTTTTTTTTTTTTTTTTTTTTGAATACTGATGTGATTCTGAAAGATGTCTGAATGTCTCTAAAAAACGATTTAAAGAAGTGGAGAAGAGAAAGACGTTAGTAACGCAGATGTTTGTTTCCTTTGATACGTTTTGACACACACAAAATGGCCGCTCTCGTGCGACTGACGTCGTGTATGATGACAGAGGGGATGAGGAAAAAAAAAAAGAAAGAAAAAAAGTTAGTGTGACGTGAAATCATGAAAAGTGACAACAAGCAAGTTCATTGACCCTAGAATCCCTCCCCCCTCCCACTCCCCCCCCCCAGTCATTAAAACAAAAACAAAATTGGAAAGATAATTCTAACAACGAGACATTCGCAGGTGGAAAGTTCGAATGCACTGGCATGACAGGAAACAGATATTATCTCTATTAAGATCGTCTCTTTATTCAGGAATCTTATGCAGAGGCAAAAAAAGCGTTGAGTTCAGTTTACATGTTGACTTGTCTCAATTTAACGTCTCAGTAAACATATATTGTCACATTTTCCATTTGTCCTGTCTGTCGAGGGAAGCTCTTAGCCAAAATCGTTCATATCTTACTGTCCTTTCCATTGATTCAAGATTCCACATACCTTGTCCTACTACTTCATTCACCCAGTCCTTAATTATTGATCCTTTATATTAAATCTACACTTGTAAATGTCTTTCAGGGGTGTATCAATCAAGTAACATTTGGAGCTCTCCTGGCCCCCCTCCCACCCCCCGAAATCCCACTGCCCCTTTTCTGTAGGAAGTTCTCAGTATTCAAAGTGGATCAGTTAATTGTTTTCTCATATCACAACTTTGGAGCCCCTTAATTATCCGAGACTCGAGCAATGGCGCTGGACACAAAGATAAGTCGTAAACCTTCTCTACAGGAGGATATGGCCGAGTAGCCGCTTGTTATGACACCAATAGGCCACACACACATTCAATTATCCAACCTACTTATTACTAACCGTGGTCAACTCTCGTTCACGTCTAGCCTACCTTGTTCTTATATGTCATTAGTAACAATAAACTGAGGTACCAAGAAGCTATAGAATCAATTATCCTATCTACTTATTACTAACCACAGCCAACTCTTGCCCGCAACCTTTGGACCCATTTCTCTTATCCTAGCTAGGAATTCCAATCCATTTACCCTAGCTAGGACTTCCCAATCCACTTACCCTCCCAGTAGGAAAAGATCACGACGCTGTCTCAGTTTATTCAGGGCCCTATCCACCTACCGCAGCTAGGACTCTCCAATCCACCTACCGTAGCTAGGACTCTCCAATCCACCTACCATAGCTAGGACTCTCCAATCCACCTACCGTAGCTAGGACTCTCCAATCCACTTACCGTAGCTAGGACTCTCCCATCCACCTACCGTAGTTAGGACTCTCCGATCCACTTACTATAGCTAGGACTCCCCAATCCCCTTACCGTAGCTAGGACTCTCCAATCCACTTACTGTAGGTAGTACTCCCCAAGCCCTTTACTATAGCTAGGACTCCCCATTCACTTACCGTAGCTAAGACTCCCCAATTCACTTACCGTAGCTAAGACTCCCCAATCCCCTTACCGGAGCTAGGACTCCCCAATCCACTTACCCAAGCTAGGACTCCCCAATTCACTTACCGTAGCTAAAACTCCCCAATCCACTTACCGTAGCTAGGACTCCCCAATCCACTTACTATAGCTAAGACTCCCCTATCCACTTACTGTAGCTATGACTCCCCCACTCCACTTACCGTACCTAGGACTCTCTATCCATATACCGTAGCTAGGACTCCCTAACCACTTACCGTAGCTAGTACTCCCCAATCCACTTACCGTAGCTAGTACTCCCTATCCACTTACCGTAGCTAGGACTCCCCTATCCACTTACCGCAGCTAGGACTCCCCACTCTACTTACCGTAGCTGGGACTCCCTATCCCCTTAAAGTAGCTAGGACTCCCTATCCTCTTACCGTAGCTAGGACTCCCCAGTAGGAGTAGATCTTGACTCCCTACTCCACTTACCGTAGCTAGGACTCCCCAGTAGGAGTAGATCATGACTCCCTACTCCACTCACCGTAGCTAGGACTCCCCAGTAGGAGTAGATCATGACCCCTACTCCACTTACCGTAGCTAGGACTCCCTATCAACTTACCGTAGCTAGGACTCCCCTATCCACTTACCGTAGCTAAGACTCCCCAGTAGGAGTAGATCATGACCCCCTACTCCACGTACCGTAGCTAGTACTCCCCAACCCACTTACCGTAGCTAGGACTCCCTATCCACTCACCGTAGCCAGGACTCCCCAGTAGGAGTAGATCATGACCCCTTACTCCACTCACCGTAGCTAGTACTCCCCAGTAGGAGTAGATCATGACCCCTAGTGGGATGATGAAACAGAAAACGAAGATCGCCCAGATGTAGCTCATGTACACCGGGTCAGGATTCTCCCACACCACACTGCAGGAGATTCCGGCACCCTCGAGGGCGTACTCGTTCCAGCCGAACGCGGGCGGTATGGCCCAGATGAATCCAAGGAAGTACATCGCCGCTAAGAGAAGTTAGAGTCAAGAGAGGAACACGAACAAGAAATCGTTATAGATAAGCAAAATGTCTACGGATATTTTATTTGTTTAAAATAATATCAATAATCAAGAAGAAGAAAATCATTTAAAGTTTTGACTTAAAATATTTAATTATCTGTATTAACCCGCCCCACCCACCAAAAAAAAACAACAACAACAAACCCACTCACCAACCCCCCCCCGGCCCGCGTAAACAAGAACAATGACATTTAATTGTTTTAACCAACACCCTCTTTACGATTATGTAAAGGGAAGTCAAATTAATTTGCGTGAAAGGCGAAATAACAGCGGAGTGTTCATCAATTGTACACTTCGTGCACACCATGACGAAACTTTTTGATGTGTATATTGTATAATCATGATTACACTCAACAATGTATTATTTTATTGACACACACTGTTTGTGCTTCATTATTAGTGTACTTAAATGTTTTTATCGCAGTCCAAGGCCTCTCATAATTAGTGTAGACACCATAGGATAGAATGTCTACATAAGAAACAGGAACTTAGTTTCTTCTTCTTCTTCTATATCTTAAGGGCACACGATCAATTTAGGTTTGTTTTAGCATGTGATGGGATTGTGATTGGTCAGAAAAAAATGTGTTATATTAACTTAGAGCTCTACCCAAAATGCAAATCCTTGGACATTTGCAAAAAAACCAAATTACGTGCAAAAATCTGATAGATATATTTGAATTGCATCTCTGAGCACTGTGATTTAATCATAATCTGTAAATATAATTCTAGAAATTGTGAGATTAAAAAAAAAGAAAAGAAAAGAAGACTGCTTATTTTCGGCACACTATGAAAGAACGAAGATGAGGTCCCCATTAAGTGATCCACTCACCACATGACATGTAGGCTAACGGCTTGGTGATCTTCGTGCCCAGGAGCGGCTTGCTGATGGCGATGTAGCGGTCAAAGGCGATGGCCATCAGCACGTACATGGAGGCCAGTCCCAGGAAGTAGACCAGGAACGCCTCAAAGTCACACATAGCGTCCCCCCAGATCCACTTATGGGCCCATGCTGACGTCATGGCCATGGGGATACCTGGACACGTAATTAAAATAATACATTTTAAAACAACAATCGCTCAATATTTTGCTGTATGTTTTAGTAAGATATAATATTGTCTGTTCTATTAAGCTATAACATTGTCTGTTACAGTTAGCTATAACATTGTCTGTTCTAAAAGGCTAAAACATTTCTTTTCTAGTAACCAATAACATTTTCTGTTCTAGTAAACTATAAAACTTTCTGTTCTGGTGAGCTATAACATTGTCGGTTAACGGAGTACACTGCCACATTTCCGGTATTTTTAAAACTAATTTTTAAGCGTCGTTCCCAAAGAAGGGTGAGGTTGGTATGGGATCACAAAGCACATTTATTCGACTGGGTCTATATCAAAGCCATACTAGCTGAGACACGTGTAGTGGTAACCAATGTGCCCTCTAAGGTTTGTTGGTTCGTGTGCAAAATCATAAAGTTGTGTGCAAATTTTTACAGCATCAATTTTTTTGTGCGCAAAATTTTCAGCCTGCAGACACAAAACACACACTTAAGTGGAAATTAGCTGCGAGGTGCTCAAAACTGCTGCGCGGCGTCTGTGAGATTGCTGCGCGGCCGCGCTGCTTAAAGGGAACATTTGGTGGTAACTAAAGATAACTCCACACATAGGCTAGACTACGCCATAACCGTAATATAATTGATAAAAGAACAATGTGAGAGCTGTTGACATATTAGTTATTCTACCAAACCTGATGCTGCGCAGCTCACGCGACGCTACAGCGTCCCGTGCCTACAATATGGCGCATCAAACCATGGGGAACGTTTTCATGACCATATCTCAATTAAACACTAGGGTCTAGTGAACCTCTGAAGGGTTCGAGTGGATATTGTTCACGACCTTAAACCCAACCAACTGTCATGCAAGGGTCTTCCTTTTATGAGATGTGCCCATTTCTAATTACTTCTAACCATAAAGTTTGCGGGTGGGGTGGGGGAGGGGCTAGATTTTAACAACTGCAAGAAGTAAACACCACCTTCCCTGGAGTCTCTAGCTGTCAGTCCTATGTGGATCCACCATGACCATTAGCGGTAGATGGCATCTTGGTCTCTAGCGGTTGCCTCACGTCATATTTGCTCTGGAATGCGCCGAACCAACTATGAATAAATGCCATCCGATCTACAGTGGATAGTTGTATTAGGGAGCGTTTAAAAATTTGATGGCACTATAAACTGATTGGCCAGAATCCCATAAAAAGCTTTCCCCCAACCAAGCTCTCAAACAGCGTTCATGTTTGACAGTCCCAAATCGAGAAGGCATTTCAATTTTTTTTCATTTAAAGATTTCTTTACAGGGATGAAATTGTTTCATTACAAGACAAAGTTGTCTTGAGAACATCTATGACTTCTCTGTTCTTGAGAACATCTGTGACTTCTCTGGTCTTGAGAATATCGATGGCTTCTCTGTTCTTGGAGAACATCTATGACTTCTCTGATATTGAGAACATCAATGACTTCTCTGATCGTGAGAACATCAATGACTTCTCTGGTCTTGAGAACATCAATGACTTCTCTGATCTTGAGAACATCAATGACTTCTCTGATCTTGAGAACATCTATGACTTCTCTGATCTTGAGAACATCTATGACTTCTCTGATCTTGAGAACATCAATGACTTCTCTGATCTTGATTAACATCAATGACTTCTCTGATCTTCAGAACAGCAATGACTTCGCTGATCTTGAGAACAGCAATGACTTCTCTGGTCTTGAGAACATCTATGACTTCTCTGATCTTGAGAACATCTATGACTTCTCTGATCTTGAGAACATCAATGACTTCTCTGATCTTGAGAACATCAATGACTTCTCTGATCTTGAGAACATCAATGACTTCTCTGATCTTGATTAGCATCAATGACTTCTCTGATCTTGAGAACATCAATGACTTCTCTGATCTTGATTAACATCAATGACTTCTCTGATCTTGATTAACATCAATGACTTCTCTGATCTTGAGAACATCAATGACTTCGCTGATTTTGAGAACAGCAATGACTTCTCTGTTAAAAACTCAAATATTACCTCCCCCCCCTCAAGAACCAACTTCCAAAAAAAAAAAATAAATCAATCAATCAAATGCCATCGGCTAGGAAATAATTTTCAAAAATATCTAGAATCCATAATTGTGTTGGTTAGTATTAATTCGTCCAGAGTGGCAAAATATTTTGTTTTCTTGCACGCAAATCCTTCTTTTTTGGTAGTTTTCGTTTCAGCAAAACAGCAGCAAGATTTTTTAATTTTTTTTGGCCTTCACTCGTCATCTCAATTCATCACATCCATGTATATTTGTCAACAACAATAATGAAAATACTTTATGTGTGATTAAAAAATGGACATTGCAGGAAGAGAACTTCTTCACGGCGCTACGACTGACTGGCTCAACAGTATCGTTTTAAAATCAACTCATTCGTGGTTATAATTTTCTGTTCATGAACTAAAGTTTTTTTTGTTTTTTTCTGATTGAATTTTTTTTTTTAATTCTACATGGAAAAGGAATTTCGCAACTCTGATGAATCAATTTATCTAATGTTATCTTTAATGTAATTTTAATTTTAAATGAAATAAAAGAGTATAGCTATTTTTTTTTATAAACTAACTTCGTGGCAGAGTTTTATCAGTTAATTAATTCAACTTTGTCATTTAGACTTGTCTTGCTCAGTGCCAGGCTCGCCATCCCGAGCGTTAATTAAGTTTTTAACAAGATAGTTCATTGTCCATTTCATAAAATCAATTTGATGGCCAATATTTAAGTCTGGAATACTGAAAGGACGTTTCTGAAACTGCGACTCGTGTAAACGGTAACTGGCGGTAACTGACGGTAACTGTCGGTAACTGAAAGCATCGGACGGTATCTGACGGTAACGGACGGTAACGGTCGGTAACGGACGGTAATGGGAGGTAACTTGTTTACAGACGTTCAACGGAACTCTTACTGCGTTGTGAGTGCTGGTACCGCCTGCTAATAACGGATAAGCACTTCCATGGCTTCGCTGCATCTGGGGGTTTATTTTCAACAAATTAATGATCTACACGACATCTGATTCCTTAAAGACAAAACTTCATTCATGGATACATGGATACATGGATACAAGGATACATGGATACATGGATACATGGATACATGGATACATGGATACATGGATACATGGATACATGGATACATGGATACATATATACATGGATTCATGGATACATTGGATACATGGATACAATACATGGATACATGGATACATGGATACATGGATACATGGATACATGAATACATGGATACATTGATACATGGATACATGGATACATGGATACATGGATGCATACATGTGTGTTTTCTTTAACACACTTTCTCTCAGCACATCCATGACGACCATTAAAGCACACCAGTGTCATCTCCCATACCATAATACGTCACGGATGCCAAGCACACAGCAAACAGCTACACAAATAATCTCCACACCAAAACACGTCCCCCAACAAACAAAACGCGAACAAGAACAAATCATTAACACGTTCTACAATACAGAAGAACAGTTTGGTGACGGATACAATCAAATGTAGATCAAACGTAGATCAAATGTAGATCAAACGCAGATCAAATGTAGATCAAAAGGAAAAAAAACTGCGTAAAAAACTTGCTTAAATACTTAAGTAACGAGAAAATGTGTAAGAAGACTATGGTTTTATAAACCCATTAAAACAAAGCTTCAAATAAAAGAATTTGGTGTGGAGGAGATAACGAAGGAACAAAGCATTTGGGTTTTAGGCCCTACTAATGATTTGCTGCTGATCAAATCATTGACCCACTTTTGATCTAAGGTGTGATCTAAGGTTTGATCTAAGGTTTGATCCAAGGTTTGATCTAAGGTTTGATCCGTGGTTTGATCCAAGGCTTGATCGAAGGTTTTATCTTAGGTTTGATCCAAGGTTTGATCCATGGTTTGATCTGAGGTTTGATAAAAAGGTATGATCCAAGGTTTGATCCAAGGTTTGATCCAAGGTTTGATTTAAGGTTTGATTCAAGGTTTTATCCAAGGTTTTATCTAAGGTTTGATCCAAGGTTTGATCTAAGGTTTGATCTTAGGTTTGATCTAAGGTTTGATCTAAGGTGTGATCTAAGGTTTTATCCAAGGTTTTATTTAAGGTTTGATTCAAGGTTTTATCCAAGGTTTGAACTAAGGTTTGATCCAAGGTTTGATCTAAGGTTTGATCTAAGGTTTGATCTAAGGTTTGATCTAAGGTTTGATCTCAGGTTTGATCTAAGGTTTGAAGCAAGAGGACAACCTTGACCTAGTGCCATGATCTGCGCTTTTCATCCATTATAATTTAAAAGTACAATAAAATGACCGCAATGGATGTCACAGTTTATCCATGATAAGGGATCTCCCCCCCCCCCACGGCGGACACATCCTCACAGCCCAGCCCTTAAATCTATCAATTTTATTAGGACTGCAGTTGCTGTAAATGGATCTGATAAATTCCACTTTGCCCCAGAGCTACGTGCCACAGCTGCACGATGCAAGGCAGCCATGGAGAGTTTGCAGAAACTTATCTATCACTTATCACATGGCACTTGCTAAAAGTAATTTTTTTTTTTAGTTGCACCAAACATCTAACATTTTGTTTGTAAAAAAAAAAAAAAAAGG